GGAACATGAGACGCCAATGTTGGATCAGGCCAAAGGCCCATCCAGTCCAACACTCTGTGTCACACAGTGGCCAGAAATACCAGGTGCCATCAGGAGGTCCACCAGTGGGGCCAGGACAGTAGAAGCCCTACCACTGTTGACCCCCCCCCCAAAGCACCAAGAAGACAGAGCATCACTTGCCCCAGAGCCCCTATCTATACCTTGTGGCTAATAGCCACTGATGGACCTCTTCATTCTGCATCCAATGACACCCCCCCCCAAAGGCCCCCAACATTTAGGGGCAGCTTTTCAGGGTCATGAAGAGCATTCAGAAAAGCCTGGAGTCCAGTGTTATCTGTTTCAGTCCATTGAAATCAAGATACTTGCATGTGCTTGACTGAATTGTGGTTTTCCTCTTTAGACCATTATTTACCTTAGGTGAGTATAGTAATTTGAAACTGAGAGACTAGCTCTGTGCATTGCTGCAGGTGTTTAGATTCCAGCCAGTCCCACTTACCTTTCCCTTCTTCCTGATTTAAGTGATCTGTGTAACAGGAAAAAAGGCATATTTTTTCTACTGACAAGATGGTTCAGTGCACACTATCCAAACGCCAATAAGGCTAAACAGCTAGAACGAAGAGTAATGGTCTTGTACTGAAAAACAGATTATTTAATCATAAAATTCACACCAGTGGGGAAACCCACAGGCATTCTAATCACAGGTTTCCTTCCCTATATTGACCACTAGGTCTGTATCAAATTATGTGTGTGTGTATACAAGAATGCTTGTACATTGTATATACAGATTGTAGCCACTAAATAAAGCTGAATTATTTAAGCACTTCTTGGCGTTAAATGGCTGCATGTTCAAAATCAAATGCCTAAAATGCAGAAATAAAATTGATCTTCCCCACTGTTTTTTTTTAAAAACATGTTTCTTCAAAACAATCCTTTTGTTGTTGTTCAGTCACACAGTCGAGTCCGACTTACATCCTTACAAATGAATAAAATCACTGGCGACCGGGGTGGGGGGGGCACACCCATATTGTTACCCAAAGAGGCAATCTCCTATTTAATTGGGGGAATTCGTTTAAGGAGACAGAGCGAGAGGTGGGTAACTGGGATCTCCAGTATACCAGGATTTTTCCCCTTTAAGAGAACTCTCAAATAAACCAGGCAGATGTTCAACCAGAAAGGCTTTTTATTAAAAGAGAAATAAAAGGGCAAAACACACACAAACACGCTTAAAACACGCCAGCTAGCTAAGAGAACAAGTGAGGAGCAGGAATATCTGAGAGGAAAGGGGCTGTAATTACCATATGTTGTAGAGGTCCACAGAAGCAGGAGCAAAATGGCCAGCTTTTCACGGGGAGAAGAAACCCACAAAGTGGGGGTGCATGCTGTTGGTACCAAAAACACACACACTGCACTGGTGGCTACGGATTCTAGATATAGGGCAAAATGCTCCCTGGGGCAAGCTGACGTATTCACCTCCAAAACAATAATTTGATGGGTTTTTTGGAGGTGGGCAATGATTTGGGAGAAGCTTGATGGGCTTTTCTGACATGGACTACAGGTGTGAATGGGGCTTTATGCCCATGTAAGTACTGGATGGGATAAGCTTCTAGGGCCCCGGTCACACAGCAAAGTTGCCGCGGGAAAGGCACAGATGGCGGGCGGATTATCCGGGCGCGATCACACCCCAACATCTAGGAAGTGGAGCACACCCGTGGCTTACCGCCGAAAATGCGCATTAAAAAAGTAGTACCTCAAAAGTTACTAGTATACATTTGCCACGGGCTGCCTCCAGACTCCCGTGGTGTGATCGCACCGGCACGCAGCATTCCCCCCTCCAGTCCCTCGTTTACCCACCGGCGTCGAGGGAAGGACCCGTGGTGTGCCGCCAGCACGTCTGATTGCGTAATCATGGATCAAACTGCACCGGGGCAATTAGCCACACCACCCCTCCGCGATATCCAGCCCATGTGACTGGGGCCTAGGTTTGGTAAATAGAATTAAGTGTTGCTTGATTAAGGTAAGTGTAAACAGAGGAAGCAAGGTGGGAACATTGATGGGATTAGTCCTGGTGTGAGTCAATAGGTCCTGGGAGACCCACTGTCCTATAGTTATGCATCTCTCTGGGGCCTGGAGGGGGCCATTAGCCAGTCAGCTGCTCTGACTCTCCTTCCAAAATATTTTCCCAGGCTCTTACCTGGCTGGCATCGATTTTGTTCCATTTTAGGCCAAGCAGTACCCTGCACATGATTTTAGATTTCCCAGGCTCTTACCTGGCTGGCATCCACTTTGTTCCATTTTAGGCCAGGCAGTAAGTACCCTGCACATGATTTTAGGGTAAAGTTAAAGAAGGGTTTTTATGTCTCTCTAACAGCTAAACTGCCCCTTTTGGGAGGAGGGGGTTTGACTGCTAACAGTGTCAGCCCCTTTGCAAATCTACTTTAACTGCAATGGGAAGAAAAAATTTTAAAGAGCTTTCCAATCACAGAAGTCACTGCAACTTCAGATATTGGCCCCAGGCCTTCCAGTACCTTTAGACATATTTACACCCATGTGCTGACTGCACTCTTCAGACACTTGGTGGTGCCCTCTCTCAGGACACTGTCAATCCAGCGACAACAAGGTCACTGACATTTGAGGTGGGACAACCAGTCCTCTGCAGAGTGCATGTGAAGGGTGCCTTCACTTTCTGCATTCAAGAAGGAATGTACAACTGTTTATTTCAAAAGATGTTCAGTGGATGCTAAACTAAGTTTGGGCAGATTTGGCTGTGCCATTTCTATTTTGTGACTGACTGTTTTTATGCATTTGCAACTTGTTGGCTCTTTTGTTATGCACCTTGACAATTTTGCTCATGGATGGGAATCCTGTTTATGGCTACTGGCACGGCTTTTTTTGTAGAAAAAGCCCAGCAGGAACTCATTAGCATAATAGGCCACACCCAATAGCAGAATCTCATTAGCATATTGGGCCACACCCGACGGCACCACTCATTAGCCCATTAGGCCGTACCCCCATGTTACCAGAAGTGTGGTTATCCAGCCACACCAACCTTTTGCTTCTTATTCTGTTTACCTTGTTTGTTGTCAAAACCCAGAGCTTTTTTTGTAGCAGGAACTTCTTTGCATGTTAGGACACACACCCCTAATGTAGCCAATCCTAATGAGTTTCTGCTGTTGGGTGTGGCCTGTTATGCTAATGAGTTCCTGCTGGGCATGGCCAACTCAGGAGCCAGCCGGAACTCCGTTCCCGTGCGTTTCCTGCCCAAAAATAGCCCTGGCTACTGGAATCAGGAGGTATGGTTGGACTAACGGTGTTAGTCTTTTATAGAAGGTGCTTTGAATAGGTTTGAAATTTTGTAGATTGCTTAGTACAATGATGGACAGATACGATTGTGAAGCTTAAGGGAGAGAATGGCTAGATTTGAATGTGGTGCTTTTTGTTAACAGAAATCTTTTTATATATATTATTTTGTGTATTTTGTCACACTTTTTATATATATTATTGTGCCAGTTTGGTGCAGTGGTTTAGGAGCGCGGACTCTAATCTGGGAGAACTGGGTTTGATTCCCCACTCCTCCATGTGCAGCTGCTGGAGTGACCCTGGGTCAGTCACAAGTTCTCTTAGAGTAGTTCTAGAAAGAGCTCTCTCACCCCCACCTACCTCACACTCACAGGGTGTCTGTTGTGGGGAGGGGAAGGGAAAGGAGACTGTAAGCCGCTCTGAGACTCCTTCGTGTAGTGAAAGGTGGGGTATAAATCCAATCTCCTCTTCTTAATACTCCAAGTTATAATTTCCTTTGTAGATTACATATATATATATTTAAATGTATATTTAGAAGAGCAGGAGAAGGTCATTTAAAAAACCTAGTGTACAACAAGCCAGGCACATAGGAAGAAGGCTTGCACTGGTCCAAGTGCATTCCCCAGCCCTGACCAGCAGCAGCTCTCCAAGGTGTCCTTCCCATCCTCTTTTCCCTCCAGAGATTAGTCAACAGATCTTTCCCCCAGTTTGTTTACAGGGCAGAAACGGGTGTCTCTTGTCCCTCTGGGAAAAAGAACAGGTGATCGAGGGCATGTTAAAGACTAAGGAAAAAGCGTATTCCCTTCTTTTATCCTGTTGCTAGGGGCTTGCACAGAATTATTTTGTGGGGAAAGGGAGGAAATCGATGGGAAAGGGTTGTGTTACCACTATCTGCAGAAGTGAGCAGTGACTCATGAAATCTTCTCCCCTGCCACAAATGTTGTTAGTCTTGGAAGGTGCTTTTCTCCTGCTACGGACAAACACGATGACTACTTTAAAACTGAACTCTTGAGGCACCTTAAAAACTAACAGTAGTCCGTTCAAGTTGCGATTTCGCCCATCCCAACTCACTTTCCCAGAGAGAGGTGAGGAAAAATCGTACTTGTGTTACCACCATCTGCAGAAGTGAGCAGTGACTCATGAAAGCTTCTACCCTGCCATAAATTTTGTTAGTCTTGGAAGGTGCTTTTCTCCTGCTACAGACAAACGCGGCTACCCATCGTGACCGATGACTACTTTAAAACTGAACTCTTAGGGCACCTTAAAAACTAACGGTAGTTTGTTCAAGTTGCGATTTCGCCAATCCCAACTCACTTTCCCAGAGAGAATGGTGAGGAAAAATCGTACCGCGAATTCTTATGGGGAAGAACTGGGGGGAGGGGAGGGGACGCGCCCGGGCTTGGCGTGCATCACACCGCGTATCTTTCAAGCGCGAATTCAACATGTCAAGACGAGGTAGGCCCCGCAAGAACCGGAGGCGTTGGGAAACACGCGCGCTCCGCGGAGCGCTCCGGGGAGGAGCCAGCCGAGCGCGCGCGACTCGTCGCCACATTGCCCCGGCTTCTCCCTAGCGCAGCCCGGGCTTCTTATCATAGCGGCACAGTCTCGGCAAGCCTCTTTCAGACAGTTCCTGCCTCTCAGGAAAGGCGGAGGGGGGAGAGGAGGCGGGGGAGGGGAGCGGCTCCCCTTCCTCCTCAGCGAAGGGGCGAGGGCGCCAAACAAAGGGGAGGCTGTGCGCGCCCCGTGCCAACCGCCGGGCGCAGTGGCGGCGGTGGCGGCGACCCCGTGGCGCTCGCGGAGCAAGGAAGGCGGCTGCAGCAGGAGGCGGAGGAGCCTGCATGGGCAGCGGCTCCGCGAGCCGGCGCGGGGCTCCAGGCTTGAGGGCTCCTCTCGGCTAGCCGCCCCAGCCGCGCGCCAAAATGGCCATCGCGCACATCGCCACCGAGTACGTCTTCTCGGACTTCTTGCTGAAGGAGCCGTCGGAGGCCAAGTACAGGGGGCTGCGGCTGGAGCTGGCCGTCGACAAGCTGGTCACCTGCATCGCCGTCGGGCTGCCGCTCCTGCTCATCTCGCTGGCCTTCGCCCAGGAGATCTCGATAGGTAACCGCGGGCGGGCAACAGGCGCC